TGGACATCAGCAATGACATCCCTCATTCCACGGCCTCTTCTGAATCCAGCTTGAACCTTTGGAAGTTCTCTGTCAATGTATGCTTGTAGCCATTTCTTTATTACCTTTAGTAAAACTTTACTCACATGGGATATCAGAGATTGTCCGATGATTTCCGCAATTCGTTGGTTCACCTCTCTTTGGAATGGGTACACTATTAGAGTCTCACAAATCCTTCTGTTTCAAATATGCTACCCTTACCCTTAGTTGAACTTGGTGTCCTTCAATAACTCTAGCTCTGATTTACCTTCTTTAGATAAGAAACCTCCATTCTTCTTTTGGGAGAGTGGTTATTACAGAGCTGTGCAAATATAGGAAGAGATCTGCTAGTCTAACTATATTGTTAAAAGACTTTCAACAGTTCTGGTTAAGTCTTAGCCTTCACTTCAACTTTCAGTTAAGTTCATTACCATCACATCCTGAGTTAGGGCAGGATTGGTTGATATTTAGCTTCTCTATACTGCTGGCTTAGGATTTAGCTGATTTGGATATGAAAATAGCATACTCATTGCCCTTTCATTTGGTTTCCACCTTTCTAAGGTTTGCTGTATTTTTTCTTCTCTCATTTTCTTTGTCCAAATGGGTTTATGGTACTTCTTTCTTTCTTTTTAGTTAATACCTTTTCCGTCTTCCATTATTTGACAGAAGTACACTCACTACATTTGTTTGAAGTTAGATCAGTATTATCATCAAAAAAAAATTCCAGGAACCTATCTATAGCATAAGGACCTCTGGTAGCGTAGTGGTTATGAATCTGGCTGTGAACCTTTAGGTCAGTAGTTCAGAACTACCAACTGCTTTTTGGGAGAAAGATGAGGCTTTCTGCCCCTGTAAAGATATACAGACTTGGAAACACTGTACAGGATTGCTATGGGTCAGAACCGACTCGACGGCACTTAACAACAACAACAACATCTATAGCATTGTGTTCAGCTGTGGCGCTGTGGGTTAACGTGCCAGACTGCAAAGCCATTTGAACTACAAGGTCGGTGGGTCAAGCTCACCAGCTTCTCCTCGGAAACCTTATACAGGGTAGCTATGGGTCATAATCAACTTGATGGCACTTAACAGAATCTATAACATGATATATTTCGCCAAAATCAATGATTTGTTCATTTCAAATACCTTCTTTAGACAGCATAAGAGATGACAATACACATACACGGACCTCACCTGATGGAATACACAGGCATCAAATTCACTACATCTGCTGAAAGAGACGTTGGAAAAGCTCCATATCATCAGTCAAAACAAGGCCATGAGCAGATTGTGGAACAGACCATCAATTGCTCATGTATGGAAATTAAAACTGAAGCTGAAGAAAATGAAAACAAGTACACAAGAGCCAAATCACTGTACCAAAAAGAAATGGTTGATGTTCAGCCATTTCAAGAGATAGCATATGATCAAGAGCCAGTGATACTAAAGGAAGAAGTCCAAGGTGCATCGAAGGAATTGGCAATGAACAAGGCAGCAGGAATTGATGGAATAAAAATTGAAATATTTCAAGAAAGTGAGACAGCACTGGAGGCACTCTCATCTCTGCCAAGAAATTTGGAAGACAACACTGGCCATCTGATTGGAAGAGATCCATATTTGTGCCCATTCCAAAGAGAGGTGATCCAACGGAATGCGGAAATCATCGGACAATCTCTTTGATATCCCATGCGAGTAAAGTTT